AGAGGCCACTATACGAGTCATTCTCTGGCCTTTAGAAATTAAGAGGCGCCCTGGTATATGCTGTGCCCGTTCCTACCTATGAACTATCCTGCGTTCACTGGAGTTTCCCAAGGATTTGAGGGTGGTCGTGGTGAAAAGCAAGCCGTAAGGCTTCTTGGGCCGGCCTTTCCAAGCGGGTTTTAATTGCTACCGACATGTCCCTCCCCGCTTCCGGTAGAAGCCACGATGGCCAGTTCTCTTCCGGATTCCGCAACCGTGCTTCCAAAGTACCGGCACGGGGCGATGACGTCGGGGAGTCACAGGGGGAGGTCAATGCGAGGTGACGTGGCCCTGCGGAGCAGGCGGGGGAGGGCCGGCAGCGGGTGTCAAGAAAGAGACAAAGTTCACCGCGGTTGCCTGTGCTCCCCTCCCCCCCGGCGGAAGAAGCGCCCTTCTCTAGCGCCTGCTCTCTCCGACCTATGGAGCCTGTCGTTCCCTCCAGCCCCACCGGCGCTGCGGCGCTTTTCCTGGGCCCGCTCTCCCGGGGCTACGCTTCCCTCACGGGCCACTTTTTGCAGGTGAGAGAAGGGTGGGGAACAACAAAGCGGGGGAATTCCCGGTCGCCGCCGCTTCAGCTGCCGCATACGTGTGCTTTTCCCGGGAGCTCGCAGCCCTGCTCTTTCCTTCCCTGGCTGGCTTCCCATGGCTTTAACTGGCAAACTAAAAAGGAGGTAGTCGTCGGTCGGGCCCCATAGGACCTCGCCGAGATAGCCGGTGCTAGGGCCGAGATTTTCCGGGGAGGCCTACAGAGAAGTTGTGTGGAGAAACTAGGTTAATGTTGGCAGGATCTGTAGAAATGACAGAGATAAGAGGGCGGGAGAGATCCTTCTCCCCGTTTCCTCCCAGGGAATTCATTTTGAGTCTCAGCCTTCCCTTCTCTGGCTCTCCCCTCTCCCCAGTTCAGGATACCTACAACTAGAGTTAGGAAACAGTTGGCTTGTTCTGGTGGTGCTGGGGGAAGGGGCACAGGCTTTCTGCACTGGGAAAATTAAAGGACACTGGAGGAGGTTTTGTGGACTTGTGCTGGTACAAGTGAGTTGAATGTGAAGGCAGAACGGTTTGGTTTTTTTTAAGTGAGTTTTTATGGTGCTGTTTTATACAAGTTGTTGTTGTTCAGTATAAGTTACAGGAAGGTAAATATTTTGGTCTCTGGTTTCTCTGTTACACAAGCAGATTTTCTGTGAAGTTCAGGAGATACTTTTCCCCCAGAAGCTTCCTGTAAACAAACTAGAAACAAGATACTGATAGAGTTCTAAAAAAGTTATGGTGCTGGTTTTATTTTGGGGGTCATCTAGGCTTGGAGTGTTGTTCTCTGAATGGTAGTCCAAGGTCTTCATTTATGTACATGTCTGGATGTCTGTGGCAACTTGGACAACAGGGTTTTGTATTGTTTTCCTGTAAAACTGACTTGTCAGGACTTCATTGATTTTCACAATAGTGCAAACCTTAATACTTAATGACATTTTAACTGGTAAGGGTGAAATAGAGGAAGGGGAAAAGGAGGCATCGTTCCTCTTTTGTGATGCTGACATACATTTAGCATAGGATTCAATAATGCAATTCATTCAAAGGCAGATTTGTTTGGAAATCTGTGTTGCATTTGTTGTTCTTTTGCCCAGAATTATTATTTGTGTTATTTATAAGTCCACCTTACTCACTGAGACTCAAGGTGGATTACTTAGTGTAAGTCCATACAGTCAACCAGATGGGACATCCAATAAATAGTGCAGCAGGATATGAATTGTAGAAATCTGAAAACAGAGCTGAAACAAAGCATAAGTATTAATACATGTTGAATGATGCAGAAATTACAAAGGTCCCTGCCACATGAGGGGAAAAAAGGACGGGCAAAGTGCGGCTTTTAAAAGCTGCACCAAAATAGGCATGCGGCGGCGGGATCATATAGATCCCGTGAGCCGCCGTGCAATTGCTCCCCGGCACGATCAGATGCCGGGGAAACCGGGGAGAAAGCCACGGGAGGCTGCCGAACTGCGCATGTCTGAGCATGCACAGTTCGGCCAGGAGCCGGGGATGCGCCGGTGGAAGAACGGGCCGGCGATCCCACGGCCAGCTTGGATGCGGCCTTTCGGAAAGAACCACCTCGGTAGGTGGTTCTTTTTTGCTGTGGGTTATCGTCGGAAGGGCCGGATCGGGGACGGGTGCGCAACGCTTCCCAGATGTTGCGGTGGGATTGCGCCCGTTTGCTCCGCCCACGATCCGTCCCTCTCCCGGCCCAAATCCTCTCGTGGGACCGGGGCCATAGTAGATTATACAACAGATAGTAGTAGGAAAGTCCACCGCTCCTGTTCCTTTACCAAACCATGTTTGGCTTGAACCATTTAGTTACACCATTTAGTCTTATTTCTCATGTTAAAAGGTTTTACTGAATAATTCAGTTTTGCAGTTTGCAGAAAGCCACGAGAACCAGAACCTTCCTGACCTTATCAGGCAAGCCATTCCATATGGTGTGGGCCACAGAGAATGTACATATCCAAGCAATTGTTGATTTTGCCCATTTGCAGGGTAGCACGAAATTGCAAGTAGATAAATAGGTACCTCTTCAGTGGGAAGGTAACAGCGTTCTGTGCGCCTTGTTGTTTAGTCATGCCGGCCACATGACCACAGAAATGTCTTCGGACAGCGCTGGCTCTTCGGCTTTGAAACGGAGATGAGCACCGCAA